GTTATCCTCACATTAACTTAATAATGCCAAGTGTTTTCTCTGAAAAAATAAATGAAGGTGTAGTCTTTATTTTTTCCTCTCATAACATCAAGTCACACATTCTTTTCATTCTTCTTAGTATATCTGGCTTAATCTTGTCTTCCTTTCTGTTTGTTGGCTTTCAGTCTGGATTTCATCCCTTTATACGCCGGCACTTTTCCTCGAATCGGCCATCCTGTCTGTATTTTTCCCTTCCCTTAGTTTATTCTTCTTAGATACGAAATTTCCCTAAAACAGTTACTATTTATTTATTTATAGTATTCTGGCTTTATTTTTTTTCTTAGATTGTTGTTCATTTTTGTACAGTACTTGATTTCTCTCTTCTAGTGTAATTCCCATAAAACTCCCACCACCACATCACCCATAAAACACTGGTCTTTTTACACAGTTGCTGGGAAAGGTATTGCGATTCTGATCACTAAATGTTAAGATACATGCTCCTTAGGTGCTACAGTAGGTTCCAGGCTTCTACAAGAGTTTTGTTTTAATCATTTACATTTACGTTTAATTTCATGTGCTATGGTGGTTGTCAGTCCATTTTGTTTCATTAAGGGGTATACCTCAATATGAAATTGAATAATTTGAATAAAGTGTTTGTTAAAATTATGTATTTGTGTTCTAGAAACTTTGCTTAGGAAATGTACTTAAGATACTAACATTTTCTGAATTAATTCCATTTAACTGAAAATTTTTATAAATGTTATTGAAGAGAGAAAGTAATATCATATCAGCAGTATATTCTCTTCACAACACAAGGATCAAGTTGCAAATGTGATAAAATATATTGACAGTAAAATGAAATGGAGATAGTGCATGACCTGTAATTTTTTTCTTAAAGTGTTATAAAAATAAGTATCTCAAATACAGTGTAATTAAAAGTTATAACTATTCACAATATCGTTGAATTTAAATTATGTCAAATTAAATAAGATTAAAATTGCATATATAATTATATAGAAGTTTATAATGTTTAAACAAAAAGCATTTACCAAAATCTCGAAGTTTAGAAAACTCATTAATTCAGATTTAAAACTTAAAATAACCTTTAGATAATGATTTTTATTTACCCTTGTTAGAACTAAAATGTAAAAATAATAACCTATCTGTTACATGTAAATGTCAATCCAATCAAAAGGTGACTGAAAATTAATGACTTTATTTAAAAAAATACAGTTCATAAAATTTAAGATTGGATCTAATTTTTTTGTTAAAGGATTTTATACAAATTATAAGAATGTTTAATTATAAAATTCATAATGATAATTTAAATTCAGAATATTTAATTTTAAGATAATTTAACCTCATAATATATAATTATGACTAGTTATGACTCTGAACTATATAGAATTTGAAGTAAGTCATATAACCTTTTTAGATAATTTTCATAATTAGGTGAGAACAAGGCACGATGGATCTCCATTTCATTTTCTTGCTAATATTTGCAATTTAATGCTACAGTTAATCCTTAATTGCTGAGAGTTATCTATAATATGGGTGCCAATTCTTCTTTAATAATGACATGTAATATATATTTTTTAAAGATTTATTTTTATTTATACAAGAACTGGGTTATAAGTCAGAGGCCTGGGAGGGTGAGAGAATTCACCAGAGACAGAACTGGAGCAGAACAGGCAGACGGACCGAAATACACTGATGAGGGGAGCAGCAGGCGAAACAGGAGAGGTCTGCCCCACCATGTGGGTATCTCCCTGGCTGGCTGGGAATTGAACCTGCGCTGCAGAGGCTGCAGACAGCTTCACAACGCTGTGCTCAACCTGCTATGCCACCAGGGAGGCCCTGTAATATATTTTAAAGGTAAACTAAGAAAGAAATGTTAGTTAAAAATTTTTAAAAGAGGGGCCTCCCTGGTGGTGCAAGGGGTTAAGCACCACACTATGAAGCAATCTGCAGCCTCTGCAGCAAGAGTTTGATCCCCAGCTGGCAAGAAGCAACCCACGTGGCAAAAAAGACCTCTCCTGATTGGCCAGCTGCTCCCCTCAGCAGTCTACTTAGATCATTCTGCCTATTCTGTTCCCCACTCTGTCTCTGGTGAATCCTCTCGCCCCCCCGCATCTCTGGCCTGTACCCCAGCTCTTGTATACATAAATAAATATATCTAAATCTTTTTTTTTTTTTTGGTGGTACCCTCGCTGGCAGCTGGGGAACAAACCGTCGAAGCACAGGCTGCGGGCAGCTTCGCAACCCAGCGCTCAACCGCTGCACCACCAGGGTGGCCCTAAAATTTTTTTTTAAAAGAACATCTAACAGATGTGTGTGTGCGTGTGCATGTGCATGTATGCACGTGCATGCACGCTCGTGTGTAAAAAGAGAATTAATTTTTTGGTGAATTCATGGATTTATGGAAAAAGAATCACTTGTTAAACCTAGAAACTTAAGGTTTCCAATAGATGCTCCTCCAACAAAGGCATTAGGTTCTGGTTTCAGTAGGAGGAGGAAACCCTTCTGCTCTTTTAGCCATGGGTATGTGAAGGAGTAATGTGATGTGGTGCCTTCTTTTCCGTTTGAATTTTAGTGAGAGATTTTGGAGTAAGACAGAATACATACAGTTTTTTAAAAATAGTATTCACTGTTAAAGGAAATTGATGATTATTGTTAGCAATTTTGGATTCTACTTCCAGATCCCCATTAATCTAAGTTCATTGTCTATTGGGGTACTAGTTTTAGGGGTATTTTGGTGGGAAAGTTTGTGATTCTCTGACTTCAGATGTTAATGCTCTGATATCGATATTTTAAGTATTACAGTTTTCTGTAGTAAGCTCAAATCCTCTTTTAATATATAGAGGTGAACTGCCTGCCTTTATTTCTCCCCAGTTTTAAGACTTTGGCAAATGTTTATGGTGAAGAATTTTGACTTTGTGACTTGTTTAAATGGATGAAATTAAAAAACTCTTTGCATTTTGCTTTCACTAAAAGTACATTAATTTTTAGCGATATTTTCCTTTAATTTGCTTTCTTACTCACTTTCATGCTTCAAGTAGGAATTAGAAAGTACCAGTGAAAAGCTTAAATTATGGGAACATTTTCTAAACATGGGTGTGTATATGTTGGTGTGTTTTTAAAGCCTGCCCTTTTCTCTCCACAAAGAAGACATGAAGCAGCTCAGAAGAATATATGCAAATGTAATTATAACTTTCCTTAAAAATCTCAAAAAGGTACCATGGAATATTTTACTTCTTCTTTATATCAGAATATATTAGTGGTTAGTTAAACATGATGTGGGCTGGAGAGATTTTTAATTATAAGGCCAAATATTCTCATAGTCTAGCTACGTGTCTAGTTGAAATAATTCATTTAAAATAAACTTTACCATAGCTTTCCAACTTGAATCCTGCTTTATTCTAAGTCACCAACTTAAGATGCTTTATGTCATTTATCTACTCAGACATTAATATTGAATTAATACAGCTATGGAATAGTTTGGAGAAAAATTTATCTAAAGACCTTGCCCTTCAACTTTTGATTCTTACTGCTTAAATATGGACAACAATCTTTGTCTTGTTCAACCTTTACTTTCACCTGATTTTCGTCACTCAACTGTTGATTTTTTTACCCCCCACCATATCCTTAGAGGTAGCACCATATGAATCTGAGATTCAATGAACAGAATTTAAAAATTTTGCTAAATTGTTTTAATTTGGTGGTAGTGAATCAAATGGATTAATGTATCATTTGTTTTAGTTTATTTGCTATGTATACCTAATACCTGTCCTTTCGATTTTATGCTATGGAGAATGTTGCTAAGAAGCAGCCATTGATTAGATTTTGGGTATCTTTTCTCTTTAAACTGTTACATTCAATTTACATACTTTTTCTTGTCTATTTTTGATGCTCTTCACCATGTTTTTTTCTCTTGCAAGAATATAACCATTATATCTATCCTATAAAACCAAGGTCCTATAAGGTTATTGTAATATTTCAGTTAGATGTGTGTCAAATATTTGAAAAAACACCAAACATTTCAGATATTAATGATTCTTAGGAAATAACAAATGTTATTTCAGAGACACTTGATAACTTTTAGATAAAACATGTGAACTACCACCAACTATTGAGGATTATGTTGTATCAGAATAATCCCTTCTAGCCTTATGGATTTTATAGTCTTATGTCTGTCGATTTGACAGGGTGAGTTCATAAATGTAACTTTAATGCTTTCATATTTGTTGAAAGAATTTTGACATACAAATTTTTTAAAAAAACTGTAACAACTTTTTTTTAAAGCATTGATTTTGAGAAAGTTAATCAGAACTTTAGTGAAATAAGCAAAGGACACACATTTTTAAAAATTAGAAAATTTTATAGAAGTTTAGGTTTCCAGAAAAAATAAGCAAAAAGTACAAGGAGTTCCCAAACACTTCTCCCAAGGATAAATAATTTATCCAGGGTGTTCGCTGTAATCCTACAGAAAGTTGTGCCCAGTGTATCAAATACTTATTACAAATTTCTTCTCTCTATGGGGAAGTACATAGTTTGGGTTCTACTATTTATGACTTTAAAGTGTACTATACTGTGGGTAGATAAAAGTTTAAATAAATGTTAAATGAAGACAGATTTTTGAGGTCAGCTGTATTTTGACTTTTTGTGGTGTCCTAATTGGGTTGTTGGTGTATTCAAATCATAACAGTTAAATGACCTCATGTGTTTTTTCAAGGATTTCGAGTTTCTCAAACTGAGGATCAGCCATTCATTTTGTCTTTCGAAGTTTTTGTTTTCAAGTCTGAAATCCCGCCAATTGTAACAGCTTGTGTGTCAGCTCCAGTAGAGGAAGCTGGCCTGTGTCAGCCTGTACTTAGTATGCTAAAAACTACTAAAAACTTGACATTGTTGACTACTAATAATGTCCACTAACCATCGTTAATTATGAAATTATAAAACATTTTCACTAGTGAATAGGCTATCTGTAATAATTAAGGTTATTCTTTTTTGTTCTACCCCTGCAGAAAATTTCCAAAGACTTGAAGATAGGAAAACTATCAGAGAGGCTGTAGCACTATTATACGTAAGTATTGCTTTGAAAAAGAAGTGTAGATTAAGAATATTTTAAGTATCCAATTGTTTGGGGAAAATATGTTAGGCAAAGATATTATACGTAACGTAAAGGAGTATATGTTATAATCATATTAATAATTTATGAAATCTAATCCTATGCAGTCTTTTAAAAATTGAAAATGCATTCTTATGTATTGAGGTGAGGATTTTACCAATAGCATTGAAAAATATTTCTAATTCTAACAAGGATTGATCTAGTTTATGTACATTGCTTATTTAAAACTATCAGAATCCAGAAAATCATTGTAGTTTTGTAGGTTTGTGATTTGTTTGGGTGACTTATTGTTTAGGTTATTTTGCAGAATTATTTATTTGCTGATTTATTTATGTATTTCATTATTTATTTATTTGATTATTTAGTAAATTATTTATCTGATGAATTATTAATACATCTTCATGACATGCTTTAAATTATTTATAACTTAATTTTGAGTTTATTGCTTTTAGACGCTGCATTGTTACTGACTAGTTTTTGATTTTTTTTCTTTGTGGTTCTTTAAAATTAAAGTATTAGCTCTAAGGCAAAAGTATATTCATTGCAGTGGTCATGAGTATTTTCTTTTTAGTAATTTATAGTAGAGATAAAATTTCATTTATGCTTTGTTTAGCTCTAAATTTACCTATTTAGGGTCACTGGAGGTGTGTTGAGTGCAGTTATTGTAGAATCACTTACAAATTAATGACATAGCCCATCTATAAACTGAGATTGAACAGGAAAGCTCCAGTCCACATTATCCTTTGTCCCTTTAAAGGGCAGGTCTGTATTTCTTACTTCTTTGCAATAAATAATGGGGTGTTGTTTAGTTATTTTTTTTTACTGGCCAATCTGTTTTACTTAGTGGATTATTTTTAGCAGAGTTCAGAGAAATAAAGTCCACTGCAGACAAAGATCTCTAAGGCATAATTTGACTGATGTATCCTTTGTTTTCCTAAATCCCCCACTATATGTGTATCTTTAAAAACAGCATGATAGTTATGTAGATTTTTATGTCAATTGTAATGATATTTATTCCCTATCATATTTGCTATGGAAAGTTTGATACTACTTTATTTTACTGAACTAAAATGGACAGAGGTCTTTACAAATGCAAGCTATAATTTCCCTGACTTGAGCCAATAATTCTCTTATGTAGTTTCTATTTTCAATAAAATAAGGTATTTCTTCTGACTATTTCAGAAGGTAGTACAATTATTAGGGCTCTTTTGTTGAGTGGGTTTAATGGATAGGTTAAAGTAGGCGTTTGGGTAAATGAGTTCCCCATGTGCGCAACATGGTCTTCTGTGTTTGCTTGCAGTGAATTACTGTGCACTTAACAGTTTTTACATTTCAGGGAGAAGGAGTATTGCACATTTCAAGTTAGGATGCTCTTGAAATATGTGAAAATGGCCTCTGCAGTCAGGTTATTCTATAGAGTTGTAAATTATGCATACGTATACCCAAATTTCTTATTTTGAAATATTGAATATATGAAAGTTTAATTGGTATATTGCTTCAGTATCTTCATATGCTTGCATTTAAGGAAATGGTTTCCTTTGATATATATACATGGATTAAAAAATGTGTGTATTGTACATATCTGTGACTCTTCTGTTGTGGAGATGAACAACCACAGACTGTTAGATATGGAATTTTATTTAAAATGTGCTTCAGTATGCCAGTGGGAACTCCTTTAGAAGAAAAAGCTGCTTATTCAAAGTTGAATGAAGCTCTGTTATATTAATTGTTATGATAATATACCTAACCCACACTATTAATATGTATTTGTGCATTGCTAGCTGTGTCACATAGGTGATCTTTGGAAGATACACATTTTGCCTACTCACCCATACACACACGTGTGAAATTTCCTTGTCACATCAAAATAATTTTTAGGACTTGTTTTGAAAAAATTATTAATAGAAATTATCATAATACTTGCTAACATTTATTGCATACTTGTGCAAGCACAGTATTATTTGTTATTCACAGTGAGGTAAGTACTATTATATCTTTGTTTTACAAATGAGGAAACAGATTTAGAGGCATTAAGTAACTTGCTCATTACCACACAGCTGACCATAAGAGATGGTACTGGGATTAAGACTCATTTACACTGACTCTCAAGGGTCTTTCTTAGCTATTTAGTTTTGTATATTTAGATGGTATAATGTAGATTTTAAACAATTGTTTTAATTTTATTTTTTAAGACTGTAGTTATCTATAATGGATTTAATTTGTTAAATATATTCACTTTGCATTACACTCAGTCATCTTTTTTTAAACAGGCGGTATTTGAGCTTCTTTTATTTTGTGATTTGATTCTTGTAATCTTGTGTGGTTGATGAGAATTACATACAGAAGAATTTATGCCTCAGGGAGAGAGTATGTTTGCCTGGTGGATGTCCTATACACAGATCAGATCTTTTTGAGTTTAAAGTTCAAGACCATTTCCAGGTTCCTGTTTTGTTGAATCTGATGTCCTTATAAAAATAATGGTGTTATCAGGGTCACATAAAAACATATTGTTAAAGGAGTGATTCAGTGTCTGATGTCTAAGTTTTGTAAAAATGACTACAAATGTATTGATACGATTATATATAGTGTTTAATGCACAGATAAGTGTTTTAACTTAAAAAGGATAAGAAAGTAACCTATTGTAATTTTAAATACTTAAATGAAATTATTTAGAAAATTTTGGGGAGCCTCCAGAGTAAGGGAGAAAAGTTATGAATTTGGTGTGAAACTAAGAGAAATCTTTCTAACCCTGCTTGCTACCTAAAGACAAAGGAAGGCCTCTATTCTGTGTCTGAAACACACAAAGTGCATCAGAAAGCAGGGTTTAGATTAGACAGCAGCAGAGTTTGTGTGATATTGGTATGAGTGTCAAAAGTAATTGCATTTGTGTGAATGACAAGGGATAGTATGTATCACTCAAAGTTTTCAGTTAGTTTTCAAGTGAATAATTCACATTGTATCATAAAATACTCAAAGTATATGACTTAGGTGATATGAAATACTAGAATTGCTAGAGTGGCCAAATATTCTGTCTTCCACTTCAGGACAATTTGAGAGTAAAATGGTATACTGCCAATATAGTAGGTATAAAGATTTATTTATTTATTTATTTACACAAGCACTGGGTACAGTCAGAAGCGCGGGAGGGTGAGAGAATTCACCAGAGCGAGAGCAGGGAGCAGAACAGGCAGAACGACTAAATACACTGCTGAGGGGAGCAGCGGGCAGCAGGAGAGGTCTGCACGCCATGTGGGACCCTCGCTGGCTGGCCAGGATTGAACCCATGCTGCAGAGGCTGCAGACAGCTTCACAGCACGGCACTCAACCACCAGTCTTAAAGAGTAATAACAGAGCTTATGCGTTGGCTCTGAGAGGAGCTACTTTGTAATTGTGGCAAGTAAAAGTACAGCCAAAGGTCATGTTAAACAGAAGATTTCTTTTACATCTCAACATTTTGTGGATAGCATGTGTAGTCATTCAGGACCCTACACTGATGTAAGAAAGCAACTAAAGTTGCTTTCATGAAAGTGTTTCAGGTGTCTTTCTCCCTGCCTCCCATGCGTTGGAAAATTCAGCATGAGTGTGTATTTGAATTCTGGACTAATTAAGTAGAGCTTTATTAAACTTAGAATTTGCAGAATGAAAAGGGGCCCTCTAATAGTGCAAGGATTTCTTTAGATATGAAATAAAATTGATATATGAGTCTATAATCATGCTAGATGTTATACTGAGTAAACCCATCATCTTAGTATTGACCACCTTAGTGTTGATATTGCTAACCGAAACAATAGGAATCAAATAATATAAGAACAAAAATATACAAAAACAGAAAATAAAAATCATACAAATGAAATTCTTTAATCATGGCATATTTATACATCTACAGCTTATTGAGTAGATCCTCTTTTTAGACTTTAACTTGGTTAAGTAGAAGATGGAATATTAAAAATGGTCATCTATAGGAAAAATTATTTAGGAAGCATATGTAAAAGAACATACATATGTTCTTAAGTGGTTATTACATCTCTGTAAGTCATCCTCAGTACACAGTACCAAAAAACATAGGATGAAGAAAGGGTGTTTGGAAGAGGGTAAAATTGGCCTGTTGTATGATTTTTAGTATAGTTACTACAGTGTTGATTTCTGTTATTGAAACACATTTTTTTCTTTTTAAAAGCATACCATGATGGGGAAAACAAGAGAAAAAAATGTGTTTCAATAACAGAAATCAAGGGTGGCACTGCCCATAATGTGAATTTCAGAATTTAGTAATGTGATTTTGCTTATCACAGAGATCATGGGAGTGTTTTTGGCATTTAATGGCTGAGAATCAGAAGACTGTCATATGATGTATGGAACAATCTCAGACTACAAAAAACTGTTCTGAGTATCATAGAACTTTGGAATGTCTACTTGGTTAAACTCTCTTCATATATGAAGCAACAGTACTTCAGTGTATAATAGTGACAAATTTTTATAAAATGTGACGCAAAGATTCAGACACTTTTGGGGAGGGTCATGTTTATCGGAAGCTTAAGTAGAATAAAGAAATTCTCTTCAAATTGTATGTATTTTGGGGCCTCCCTGGTGGCGCAGTGGTTGAGCACTGGGTTGCGGAGCTGCCCGCAGCCTCTGAAGTGCTGGTTTGATCCCCGGCCACTGGGTGAGGGTCCCACATGGTGCGCAGACCTCTCCTGCTGCCCGCTGCTCCCCTCAGCAGTGTACTTCCGTTGGTCTGCCTGCTCTGTTCTCCACTCTGGCTCTGGTGAATTCTCTCACCCTCCCACGCTTCTGACTGTGCCCAGTGCTTGTATAAATAAATAAATGGGTCTTTAAAAAAATTGTATGTATTTTTATGCATTCTTTCTACTTCCTTATTCGTAGCAATTCTAACTAAATAGTTGAAAAATTTTTCGGTTTGGTAATGAACTTATTTGTAGCTCAATAATCACTGA